AGGTTTGTGACTTAGATGCAGAGCTCCACGCCGTCCCCCCCCCCACCCCCCAGCAGCAGCAACAGGGACCAATCAAAGGAAAGCTGAAGAAGAAGAAAGGAGGAGCTAGCCAGCCCATGATTTCAAGAGGGCAGAAGGTCGGAGCCTGTACTTGGGAGGAAAGGAAGAGGAAGGGTGCTATGCCATGGCAAGGTAAGTGGGGTAGATAAAAGTGGAAACAGAGGGCTGTCACCTAGAGAAAGGGAGGGAGGGAAGCAAGCAAAAGGGGCTAGCTACTCTCTCATTGTCAGGGGAAGCAGTGGAATGATGGTGCGAGTTATAGCCCAGGAGCTGTTGGGGGAGCTAATGTATGTATTGAGGGAATGGAGAGAGCCCCTAATGGATTTGTCAAGAACAAATCATGCCAAACCAACCTCATTTCCTTCTTTGACAGGGTTACTGGCCTAGAGGATGGGGGCAGGGAAGCAGCTGGTATAGCGATATATCTTGATTTTAATAAGGCTGTTGACACTATCCAACATGACAGTCTTATAAGTAAACTAGGGGAGTGTGGTCTATATGAAATTACTGCAAGATGGGTGCATTGCCGGTTGAAAAATAGTACTCAGAGAGAGTTACCAATGGTTTCCTTTCAACCTGGGAACCCATAAGAACGGCCATATTGGGTCAGACCAAAGGTCCATCGAGCCCAGGATCCTGTCTACTGACAGTGGCCAATGCCAGGTGCCCCAGAGGGAATGAACAGAACAGGTAATCTTCAAGTGATCCATCCCCTGTCATCCATTCCTAACTTCTGGCAGTCAGAGGCTAGGGACACCCAGAGTATGGGGTTGCATCCAGTGTTCCCTTCCATGTGCGGAATTAATTTTGTTACGTGCACCACTATGGAGGTGATGTGTGGTGAGGGTGGAGCTGAGGGGTTCGGCGTGTGGGAGGTGGCTCAGGGCTGGGGCAGAGGCTTGGGGTGCAGGAGAGTGAGTGCTCTGGCTGGGGGTGTGGATGGTGATGAGGGGTCTGGGGTGCAGGCTGCCCCAGGGCTGCGGTAGGGAGACAGAGGAGTCCCTCAGCCCTCTCTTGCCATAGCAGCTGGGGGCCAGGTGAGAGGCGCCTCTCCCTGGCCACAGCAGCTCCAGTGGGTCTGGGTTGGGCTAGGCCAGGGAAGAGGCACCTCTCCTGGGCTGCGGCAGTTCTGGCGGGGCTGGGCTGGGCTGGGCCGGGGGAGGGGCTCCTCTCCCTGGCAACTCCGGGGGCCTGAGCTGGGCCAGGCCGGGGAAGGGGCTTCTCTCCCCGGCAGCTCCTGTGGGGCTGATTGGGCCAGGCCATCGGAGAGACGCCTCTCCCTAGCAGCTCTGGCAGGGCTGGGCTGGGGGAGGGGCACCTCTCCCTGGAAGCTCCGGTGGGGCTGGGCTGGGCCGGGCCAGGGAAGGGGCGCCCCTCCCTGCCTGCATGGCTTTTGATAGCCTGCTGTGCAGCCACCTTACAGGGAACTTAGGTTGCATCCCTGACCATCTTGGCTAATAGCCATTGATGGATCTATCCTCCATGAACTTATCTAATTCTTTTTTGAACCCTATTATCCTTTTGGCCTTCACAACATCCACTGGCCACAGGTTAGACAGATTGACTGTGCGTCATGTGAAGAAGTACTTCCTTTTGTTTTAAACCTGGTGCCTATTAATTTCATTGGGTGACCCCTGGTTCTTGTGTTATGTGAAGGAGTAACACTTTTATTCACTTTCTCCACACCTTTCATGATTTTATATCCCCCCTTAGTCATCTCTTTTCCAAGCCTGAAAAGTCCTAGTCGTATTAATCTCCCTTCATATGGGCTCTGTTCCATACTCTTAATCATAGTTGTTGCTCTTTTCTGTACCTTTTCCAATTTTAATTTATCTTTTTTGAGATGAGGTGAGCAGAACTTCACAGAGAATTCAAGGTTTAGGCATACCATGGATTTATATAGTGACATAATGATATTTTCTGTCTTATTATCTATCCATTTCCCAGTGGTTCCTAACATTCTGTTAGCTTTTTTGACTGCTGCTACACACTGAGCAGATGTTTTCAGAGAATTATCCACAATGACTCCAAGATCTCTTTCTTGAGTGGTAACAACTAATTTAGATATCATCATTTTGTATGTAGAGTTGGGATTATGTTTTCCAATGTGCATTACTTTGCATTTATCAACACTGAATTTCATTAGCCATTTTATTGCCCAGTCACCCAGTTTAGTGAGATCCCTTTGTAGCTCTTTGCCGTCTGCTTTGGATTTAACTATCTTGAATAATTTTGTATCATCTATAAATTTTTCCACCTCACTGTGTACTCCTTTTTCTGGCTCATTTATGAATAGGCTGAACAGCACTGGTTCCAGTACAGATTCCTGGGGGACACCACTATTTACCTCTCTCCATTCTGAAAACCGACCATTTATTCCTACCCTTTGTTTCCTAACTTTTCACCAGTTACTGATCCATGAGAGGACCTTCCCTCTTATCCCATGACTGCTTACTTTGCTTAAGAACCTTTGTCAAAGGCTTTCTGAAAGTCCAAGTACACTATATCCACCAAAAAGGATCTGAGGTTTATAGTAGATCACAAATTGAACATGAGCCAATTATGTGATGCTATTGTGAAAAAGGCTAACATAATTATTGCGTGTACTGACAGTAAGACGCAGGAAGTAACTGTTCCATTCTGCTCAGCACGGGTAAGACCTCAGCTGGAATATTGCATCCTGGTTTGGGCACCTCACTTTAAGAAAGATGTGGACAAACTAGAGAGTCTAGGGGAGAGCAACAAAAATACAAAGACCCATACATTTTGGGTGGTTAGAGTTTCCTCCGATGAAGAGCCTTAAATCTCATAACTAACATGTCCATACAACATAGTGATTTTATGCTAGGGGTGTGAATCCACTTAAAGATCCACAGCTTTAGACCCTTACACCCCCATAGTATCTGTGTGAAGTCAGTGGGGATCCATATGACTATAAACAGGACAAGGGCCTAAGTCAGCAAAGCTAACATAGTTACACATGTGACTAGCTGAACTACCACAGTAGGAGCCAATTAATAACTAATGACCAAAGATAAGCATACAATCTTCGCCTCGGGGGCATTGTAAAACATCCCACACTGGGGATAAATCTCTCTGTGAGGAAAAAAAGTGTCCAGCTCTGCCAGAAAAATTGTGTGCGCGCAGGGGACAGGTTATTTGCTGCATTTGCCAGGGAATGACATCTCTTTCCATAACAAATGCTAACAAACCAAAAGCTGGTGCCTTGGCTAAACTAAGCTATGATGAAGAAACAGCAGCCAACTGAGCAATATCAAGCAGCACTGAAACTGAGGAAATTGTTTCTCTGGGTTAAATAGATCTCCATTTTGAACCTATATAAATCAAATCCCCATTTCCAGGCTTTTACTCCTCATGGACACAGATATTATCAATCTGCATCTCTTTGACGGTCGACTATGCACAGGATATATGTGTCCCTGCTATGCAAAGGGCCACTTGATAGAGTTGCATGTGCTTACACTTGGGATGCATTTGGCCTTTACACTGGATGTTTTCTTAGCAGAACAAACATGGAGTCTCCTTCCCACTACTTTGCTTCACACAAAATAATACTGAAGCCCTACTGTTAGTCTGCTTGAGTAATCTCCTTCTGTTAAAGTGGCCATATTTTCAAACTAAAAAGGCTGTTTTTTGTTGTTTTTAATGAATGTGTACTGATGCTACTTCTGCCAACTTCTGACTCAACAGTGATTTTATTCCTGTCTTAAGAAACAGATTTACAGAACCCTTAGATTGACTGGGGGTACATTACTCCATGAGTATTCTCATTTATACCAGTGGGACTACTCAAAGTACTTAATGAGTAAGGATGGCGAAATCTTGCCCCCACATAAGCATCTGAAAAGCCCAGCACAAAACCGTCCCCCTTCTGTAGTTATTTAAAACAACACATTTATTGATTGCATGAAAACAAAGATAAACTTGATGTGTCCCAAAAGACATTTGGGCACTTAGATATCATATGAAAGACCAAGACTGTTCTAATAAAACGGAGACATACAATCTCTACCTTTGGGTCAACAGCTCCTTGGATACCTATCATGTTATGACTTGGATTTCACCACCTGTTTCATTTTATTGGACTCATTGCTCTACCATGAAGGGAGATTTTGAGTAGAGGTAGACATCTGGACATTTGTAAAACAGAGAAAGCTTGCAGCATTATGGAGACTGCTTATTTAAATGGACTATTGCATCAGAATTTTGATTGATTACGTAAAAACTACATTCCAGGCACAATGTAGAAATTCACTTGAACAATGAGCATCAAATCTAGCTCCTGACTGGAAAATTCCCAACCCAAAATGTTTACATTGGTTAAGCAAATTATGGCTCTGAGGATATAATAATGCTAATCCAGCCATCACAGAGACTATTTTTATTTTAAATCATGTTGGTCATGTCATATTAGATATAATTGTATGCAGGAAAGTTGTGAGAATTACTATAATGGTGTACCCCACCCTGGTTTGTCTCTCTACAGGACACCATCCCGTGACTGTTCAAAACTTCAGCAGGGTGGAAACAGAATCTTACACTTCCTAAATCATTATCCAGGCATAGGCTTGTTAATGTTACCAGATTATTAAACTGATCTCCACTTTGAACTCATTTCAATTATTCTAATTTGGATCTGAAACTTTTAGTTCCACAATCTTTTTCCTTTGGTTTGCTTTTACTTTTTAAAGATGGTGTTATTCCCATTGCAAACAGATTTTCAGTTATATATTTTTAAGATTGATATTGGTATCTCCTCTTCATGTACCTGGACTAAAAATCTTAAGGCATAGCCTTCACATGAAATGGCATGTGGGGGAAACCACACAATTTGACAAAAAAACAAACAAAGAAAAAAGCATATAAACAAAATAAATATAAAACGCACAAGGTTACACAATATCTAACTGAAACTTTACCTGGAAATGCATGCCCTGTTAGAGAATCCAAACCTGAAATTAAAACAGTGAAAAAAAAAATCTTTAACACTAATTTAATTGGTACCAAGATCACGTATCATTAATATAAAATTTGTCACAGGCAGCAAAGATAAAAACCTCATTAGGTAGTGTGTATAAATTTGGGTCCATATGACATAGAAAAAGCAGTATGTAAATATGAAACTCTTGTACAATTTAACAAGTTCACTTGCTTTGTTATAACAACTTTAATCATGCTTCACTATAGTTAGGTTGGGTTTCGCAAGTAATTCCTTTACAAACCACTGTTTTCAGAGGTTTATTCCTTGAATGTGAACATGCGTTCTGAAGTTGTACATATGAATTTTTAGCCCATAGTAATATTTTTCTTTTTCTTGCAAATATAAAAAAAATGATTCTTTAAAGATCTACGTTCAAAAGATGATAAGCCTGATATACTACTGCAGGAGCAGGGAAGTGTAAATTACTCCCGTATCCCAGGAGAATTCACTTTGAGGGAAAGCAGACAATGATACCAACACAGCAAATCCTTCAGGCTTTTTCCTACTGGTAGGACAAGAATCTAGAATTGTAGCTGTCAGGAGTAGTACCCTGCCATTTACAATTCTATATTTTTAACAGAGACCCATTCGGTAACTTATGAAAGATGCTCTATAACTCACACACTTGTGTTCATATTTAGGTCTGTAGATGGAATTGAACTCAAGCTCTGCTTTGTAAAACAGGGTCACAGAATCATGACTATTTAACAAGACTAGCAAGGGCTCCTTTTGTATTAGGAAGACAAAAGTAAAATATATTTGATTGGCCAAAGAAGTCTTCCTACCTAATGTAATATGGAATGGGGTGTGCAGACCTTTTGATCATACAGCAAAGCCTCATAGGTCAATAGCACCCCATTCCAATTACGACTATCACCCTCACAATGGTATTATAAAAGATATGCCACCATCAAGAGTTCCTTCCTCCCTCCACTCAGATTGTGAGATAAAAGTAAGCAGCTGTGTGTTCCCCAGGACAGCAGAGCAGGGGAGTTCTGTGCTTCCCATTAAAAGAGAAGAAGAGAAAAGGTGTTGGAGGAGGAATTGGAGGAGAAAAGCTCAGTGGCGAGTTTACTCCCCTATGTGAGTTCACTTGGTGTTATTCTGAAATTAATTTAGTCTTTATTTTTACCTGGAGATGGGTTGCTCAAGGATCTGAGTAAATTTATTAGAAATGTGCAGTAGGAGTTTTAAATAAACACAGCCTTGAAAAAGGATTTTCCTTCCTGTTTGTAACAAACATACAAAAAAGCGGATGTGACTGGAATATTTGTTGATGCAGCTCAAATGTTGAGCCTCCTACAGTACAAGTTTTATTTTTTTTAAAAATAGTTGTGGTGAAGAAATATATCTTCTGCTGGATAGGCTGACACACAGCTTCTCCCATTAGAAGGTAGAAGGAAAACATTCCTGACTGTGATGATATATAAATGTCCAAATGAGAGAAATTTACTGAGTACCAATAACATGCTCAATGCTATAAAAGAACAAAGAAAACATGATTCCTGCCCTAGAAAATACGGCTTTCCAAAAATCATACAAAGACACTGCACACTACACATATTCTACATGCATGTTAGATCAGTGGTTCTCAACTTTTACCATCTGAGTTACGACAGAAAAACACATTTTTCGATCTCCCTCTCCCATAAGAAAGGGATCATGGTCATGACTACTTTCAGTACCTGTTCATGACCCCTTGACCATCCATGTGTTACAGATTATACACAAGTGCTAACACTCACCTTCCCCCAAGTTAGGCGCCTAAATCCTTTGGTGGATCTGGGGCTTGAGTAATTGCTTGTTTATATAAAATAAAATAAAAATAAAAACATGGACGTAGACTGTTATCTATGAAATACATGTGTACATCCACTGGGACTCTGGGTAGAATGACTGCAAAACTGGATACTCTGCAGGCAATGCACATAATGCATCTGTCTCAAAATAAATCAGCACTAGTTTGTTGTACTACATGAATAGCATGTGTTTATTTCCTTGCAACTAGACCTACATGAGATGAAAATAAGGTAGTTCGTCACCCTCTTACAACTCTACTGTGTGAAGTTTTGAATAAAGTAAGTCCTCCTTTGCTAGTTGAAACCACTGAATTTTAGGATACATTGAACTCACAAATCATGATCCACAAGCCCCGCTTCCATCATTACTTTCCCACAATAAGTGATATGAACTAAAGAAGGCGAGCAGTGTAAAGGTTTCCCAAATGCAGACAAATACAGTCTGCTGCTCTTCCTTGCTAAAAACTTAAGTACATGCAATTATTACAGTTAATAATGGAATGAAATCTTTGCTGTGCCTGGAACAACTGGGGTTTCCAGTCTCTGCCATAGGGATTCTACAACTCTGTTACACCAATTAAAGGCCAGGATGATAGGAAGGGTTTTGAGCTGCTCTGTTTTGTTTCTTACGCACAGAACTGAAAATGGGAAGAACTGAACTAAAATTAACTAAATTGGTAAGAAACGGGGTGGCAGTGATAGATCATAACGTTAAGGTCCATATGTTACCATTAAGCGTATATTAAAGAAATAAGAAGATGGTTTATAGTTCAAACGGTTGGTAATTTAAGCGTGCATACAATGTTGGCACACAGCCAAAGACAGAGAGATGGCAGTTTTGGTCTATGACTAGTGCATTGGTAGGTGGATATGGACTGAGGTCAAGTAAAGGTCACTCCAACGCTGCAAGGAGAGGTCAGTCCAAAACTAGGTTAGGGTCACCATCCCATAATAGCAAATATCCCATAATACTACAACTTATTGTGTAACAGCTTTAATTGACAGTTATAGACCAACCACAGCTGCTAAATGTAAGTATGGACCAATCAGAGAGGGTCTGAAGGTGATTAGAGGATAGGTATGCTAATGCTAGGATTGGGAGACAAGCCAATCAGAACCAGGCCAAAAATTTTATAAAAGACAGAGCGAGCAGGCAAAGGTCAGTCAAGTAAGGAGCAGGAGATAAAGAAGGAGAACCAAAAGAACATCAGAAGAAGCAGCAGCAGTGCTTCTAGTGCAGAGCAGAAGGATCCTGACAAAACAGAGGAAGAATAACCTATGGAGAGTAAGCATGCTAGGTATAGTGTAGGATATAAAACAGAAGTAGGGTTAATTAATATGTATGGCTGGGATACTAAAGATGAGTGTCTGTAGTGTGTATGTTTATGTTACCATGTATAAAGTTTAGAGTTTATTAAAATTGCTGGCAGTGTCCTACGTATGACTGATCACCATGTGCAGAACATAATCACTTAAGCCATTCCAACTGTATAACATTACAATATTGGGTACTTTAGCTTGTATACCTGTGCTAAGGGATTTATGTTTTAACTGATGTTTAGATGAATTGCATTAGGAAAGGCTGCTTACACTAAATAAAGAAAATACTTTTGGAAAAGTATTGCCTGGGTGTCAATCTTTTGACCAGAGGGCTGTATCCATGTTCTCCCAGCAGTGAACAAATCTAGTCTGTTCTGGGGAGTTTCCTGAAGGACATAGGGAGATCCTTGGTTAAGCCTGGCAATTCTACTAGGGCAGGCCGCCTCCTTTCTCCTTGCAGGAACTGATTAACAGGTCAACATCTTGGGAACCTGGAAGTAAGATACAGGAGGGATACTCGGGGATCCCTGAGTCTGTTCTTGGGATAACAAGAAGAAAAGCAATAGTCCTTATTATCAAAAAGACTTTGCATTCCCTGGACTGATTTTCAACTAACTATACGGGATCAGGTGGAATAAAAGTTTCTTGGATTCCATTTATCATATCTGTTGCTCTGATGTGGTGGTTTTCAGTTTGATTCACACAAGATTTCCCAAACAAAAAATAGGAACATTGATTAAAGTGATGTACATGCAGATGAAACACATTTCCAAACAGCATAACTACTATGTCCACAGTAGCAATTAGCAATAAATTATATTCACAAAATGCATACCTGATTGAGACAGTAATTCATTCATTTAAATAGAAGAGAAAAAAGACTGATTTGAAGTTAGTACTGACTTCTATTTACACTGTAGAAAATGTAGATGATTTTAGAAAGGGAATGGGGATATACTGTTCTTTAGTACGCTGCAATCATTTCATTAGCTCAGTGCAGAACAGGCATTAGAGAGAGTACAGGCTTTTTATATAGATAAGATCATTGTTTATTTCTTAGCATTGATTTGATTAGGATTTCCAGCATCACAAAGATGAAGTCTTCTCTATTTCCTGTCTCCAGGGCACAATTCTTCACATTTGAATAATAGCACATATTGTACACTGCCATATGCAGAGCTTCATCTTTCACCTGGGTGGTTCCTCTAAAGCAGGATTTGCACTAAAATAGTGATGTACAATATATCTTCTTCCTGGATTAACATCCCAGGTTTGTACTGCTGCTGCATTGTATTGAAAGAACACTGACACCTACTCTGGAAGCACAGTCGTGATGCCACACTGGGAAATGTATTTCAGGTGTAGAACACATGTAAGTAATTGTAATGTTAGGAATCCTTCCCTGGAATATCAGTGAGATACTGAAATGCCAAATTTAATATCTGTGCACTGATTCATTCATAGCAGAGTGAAGAGAAGCCAAAGAAACTCTAAACTATGCTTCTTTGCAAATTCCTTGGTTCTAAATGTTCAATAACTTCCCTGCCAGGAATTATATTTTCTCCTCTAATTCTTTGTGGTAGGCAAAAAAATATTACAAGAAGGCTGGATCCTAATTTACTCTGGGCAGGAGAACAAGAAAGCAGCAGTAGAAATAAGGGACCAAGAGTCATTCTGGGTATGTACTGTAAAATAGCTCAGAGGACCTGGGAACAGTGCATTTTATAGTGGTCCTTTAGAAAGAAAAAGGGGTGCAGTCAAGGGCCGAGGGCTGGATCCAGAAGAACTGCCCTACAAAAGTTTGGGACATGAAGAAGGGATATGAAGAGATGTGAAAGACTGGTCAGGGCCT